AGTTAATACCGTAATTAATACGTGAGAAAGAAATATTAAAAGGCTGAGTGCATTAATCAATTTTATGGTGCCTAAGACGTACCGGACCTAATTTTCCCAACTCTCAATCTCGCTTTCTTGATCTATAAGCTTTCCTTGATTTTAAGCTTCAAACCCCCTAGTCTTCTTTGCTATTCTTCCAAGTTATGACATCACTGGAGTGGACACCAAGAAAAACCAATTTGTTCCATAAGCACAAGGATTCTTGAACTAGAATACCACAAGAGGAACAATAATTAATTATTATTATTTTTTTGTCTCTCTTCGTTGAAAATTGGCCATGGCAGCTGACTATTAGCCCTCGACTTGACTTGTCCACATTTGGACTCAGCTCGACCCACCACACGAGTTGATTCCTGCTCGCTTTGGGACGAGCCAACTCGTTTCAAAATTTTGTAGCTTGGCTTGTCCCACCAACTCGCATTGCGGTGAGGCGAGCTGCTCACCCGCCACATTATGTAATTATTTTAAATTTCATTGAAATTTTAATTTTTTTTCTTCGAGAGCTAACCTGTGCAAGCAGGTGAGCATCTCACACGGGGAAATAAAGTTACAATATTCTGATTTTTACATGTTCAATACAGGAATTCTATAGAAAATAAGCAGAAGTCAAATTAGTAAAAAACCAATGTCTTCAAAAACTTGTGTTTAATCTCATTATCTTTCATCTTGAATTCTATCTAAAACTTCTTTGACTAGAATGAATTAAAAAATTATTCGAACGACGCTTGTGCCTATCTAACATTGTCAGGAAAGTCGAACAATAGACGAATGTTGTAGCTCAAGCAGTTCGAAAAACGCATCTGCCTGTTCATTATGTTTGAGAATTGAGATGGTCTTAGAGGCTGTCTAAACAATATATGGAACACACAAATGGAGGGTAATTCTTCTGAACTGAAATGAAAATATGATCGAAGTTGTAGATTATTTTTTAAACAAGAAACATCAGATACTGAGGAGTCTCGTGGTGAAAGGGCAAGAATTTCTTTCTAGAATGAAGAGGAAATCGGAGATTGAAATGCACCAGAATAACCAATGGTCTGCATCTAACAAGTAACAAAGTTTTTATGAGGTTGCGGTGTGTTTTGCATAGATGAATGTTCGAAGAACAAGAAGGAGAAAGAGAAACCAAAGCAACTATGTTTTCAAGCCTAATAGACACCAATTTTCATAAAAACACGATTATTTTCCTGTGGATGCAATAAGAAAGTGAATGAAAAATAAGGGAATAATCAGAAAAGACGGAATTATGTGCTCACGAGGCATTTTCAGTCTTAATATTTTGAACAAGGAGTTTCGAGGTCTGTCATTGAAGTCAGGCCATGTAAATCCTGGGACCAGTCAGGGTGCACCTAATCAGCGGTGTCAACTTCGGCCTCATCAAAACCATTTTTGATTTTTTTAATGATCATCAAGATTACCAGCAAGAATTAAAATTCGAAAAATTCAGTCATTTATACAATTCTCTATATCATAGGATTTTCAGTCTTTCTTTGAAAGTAGTATAGGTAAGATTACAGTCATCGTGTACCACGTGCGACAGGTGTGCTTGCCAAAATAGTACAACTATAGCATTTATAATGTATTCAACGCGAATGAAAAAAGCAAGATGTTGTACTCCTTTTGCTTTGTTTACCATTTTCTAATTCTTCTATAAGCAGCGAAAAATTATTTAGAAGATCAGCAAGATCTGAATTAGAATAGAAATCTTTTTAAACACATAATTGTATTAATTGTCTATAAAAACTGGCATCTGATGTCATTTATTCTCATATTAAATTCTGCCTTCAACTTCTTTCGCTGGAACAAATTACCACAATACTTGTGCAATGCTTGTGCCAATTGGAAATGGCAGGGAAATCGAAAAGATGGATGAATAAGAGCAGCTGTTCAAGTTCAAGTAGTTCAGGAAATGTATCTGACCCTGATTATGGTTCGAAATTTTATCAGAGGCGGTCTAAGCGATATGATGTCACTTCACATGGTGATCGAGAAAAAGAGAACATGCAGATAGAGAGTAATTCTTCTCGACTTAAAAGGAAACATGGATGCCCTTCCAAGAATTGTAACCATGAAATAAGAGAGTCTTTAAAATATGATACAGAAATAGCAAAACGCAAACCATATTTGACCGACGTTGCGGATTGTTGTGCTGAAAGGACTAGAGGTTTCACGTCTAGAAGGAAGAGGAAATCCGATATTGAAATTCACCAGAGTAAGCAATGGTATGCATCTACAAGTAACAGAAGTTCAATAGATGATATCGATTATGAGAATCCGATATGTGTTGGTGGAAGAAAAAGAAGTTCAGAGGATAAGAATGAGAAAGGGAACATGAAGGCAACCGTATTTTCTTGGCTAATAGACACCAATATAATTCAAGAAAATGCAGAAGTATTTTCTGTTGATGATATAAGCAAGCAAATGAAAAATAAGGGAATAATCAAGAGAGAGGGAATATTGTGTCCCTGTTGTGATAACATCTTCGCAGCAGCAGCCTTTCATATTCATGGTGGAAGGAATTGTGAAAAACCATATGAAAGCATATTTCTTGCAAAGAAACAACAATCCCTCTTTAATTGCATGATTGAAGCCTGGAATAGGCCAGACGAATCTCAACGCCATAAATTTAACATCATCAAGGCTAAAAGTAATGCCGTTGACTTGTATGATGATGCTTGTATGATTTGTGCCGATGGAGGAAATTTGATTTGTTGTGAAGAATGTTACTCCACTTACCATCAAGTATGTATTGGTATGGAGGTAAGGAAATTATCTTTCGAGTTATGTTTTCGGCTTTTATTTATTTATTTATTATTATTTTTTTCCTTTCAGTTTGATAGATGTGATAAGAATGTCTAAAATTGATGAACTCGAATATAAATTTCAGGAGGTTCCTGAAGGCTCTTGGTATTGTCCATATTGCGTGTGCAAATTCTGTGGAGATCCTGTGCAAGAAAATGATTATTTAATAACATGTCCACAATGTGAAAAAAAATGTAATGTAAATTTTTTCTTATCCTCGAATTTCCAGCTTTCCATTTGGTTTGAGAATTTGACTTGAAAAATTGTTGCAATCGCTAATCAGAAATTGTAACGTAATAACTGTTGTATAGATCATTGGGAATGTCGAAGAAGCAAAGAAAGTGGAGAAATTGATCTGAATCTGAATTGCACTCCAGTCGCACCATTCTGCTTGGAAAGCTGCAAAGAGGTATTTTTTCTTTCTTGACCTGTCAATCTTGCTATGATTCAAATTTTAGCACTTCCATTCAATATTATAGGAAGTTTTGAATAACATGATTGATAAATTGAGATGTCATTCGTTAAATTTTTGGGAAGGTACATGACAAGTTATCAAAAGTCTTGGTTGGGAAGAAAAATGAGCTGAACGAAGGTTATTCTTGGACTCTACTGCATCTAGTGGATGATGGATCTGGCGTATATATTGATGACGTCTGTGGTGTGTATATTGATGATGAATACCTAAGAACAATGTGCCACTCCAAACTGGCAGTTGCAAGGAGACTGATGGAGGAGTGTTTTGAGCCAATCCGGGATAGGCACACAAGAATTAAAGTGATTCCAAGTGTTGTTTACAATTGTCGGTTAGTGATCTTAATATTTTTGAGAAATGAATGATTATTTCTTATCCAATTTCAATCGTAATATCTTTTCTATTTATTTTTTTCTCGAGTGCTAAAACACTTGTTTTGCAGAGCTAATTTCAATCGGATCCATTTTGGAGGCTTCTACACTGCTGTTTTAGAGAAGGAAGATGAAATTATCTCTGTTGCATCCCTTAGGTATCAAATTCATGTATGCATGTGAACATATACATTGTACTTTGCAAGCCTAGCTTTGATATTTAATTTCTCGAGTCTTAGGATTCATGGATCAAAGCTTGCTGAAATGCCCTTTATAGCAACAAGTGATTTGTACAGATGCAAAGGAATGTGCAGAAAACTTATGGATGGAATAGAATCAGTAAGTTTAATATTTATTTACAAATATATTTAACTTTGCAGGCTAGTATTCAACATTTGTACTTTTGCAGGCTCTTCGCTACCTTAATGTTGAAAACCTGATAATTCCATCAATAGAGGAGAGAGTAAGAAACTGGTGTGACAGATATTGTTTTGGTCGCCTGGAGGAATCGATGAAGCAAGAAATAATGGGCCGGAACACTTTGATGTTCCATGACTCAGTCAGATTGCAGAAGCCATTGTTGTGGTCGTCTCACTTCGCAGAATCACACAGAGAACACAATGAATGTCCTCCTTCACTCCCGACTAAACTTGTGCGTAATAATATATGTTCTGTTTGATTTATTTAGACTTTGTTTTTCTTGAACAGTTGCTACTACTGCTGGGATATGAGTAAATCAGCAGTGTCAGCATTCCCAGATTGAAATCCTGAACCATCTGTATAGGGAGGGGGTGAACCACACACTGATAAAAAAATCATACAAATTATGTTGTATGTCCACACATGTTATGTTTAGGAAGATTTGCCTTTAATTTATTGACCCACATTAATTCATGTACTTGTATTGGTTTTTGGAATAGACAGCAGTCTTTTGCTATCTCCTCGAGTCAAACTTTTATTGTGATGTGCTATGTTTTATTTGGCCACATCAGATTCTTTCTCGATTTTGTGTGTGTGTGTTTTTTTGGTGCGCGATGCATATATGCCAAGCCTCTTTTAAGACAATCTTAAATACTCAATATATGCTCCTCAAACTTTCTTTATCTTAAATTCTTTACACGGTCATAGATGATTTACTTCTTTTTTTGAGTGTTTCTAGAGGAATAATCGAAATAAAGATTATTTGAATCCTATTCATTGTGATTCTCATTCCATATTGGAGGACGAACATAATAAAAAACAATAGTTTTTATTCTTTTGCCTCAATTGATTCAAACATTCTTATTAAAAATGTACATTGATGCTACAAAAAATCGTACATATCGACTTTCGAGCTCGACGACTAAAAATAAGCATGAACGAGGTCTTCCAATACCTAAACAAAGGCGTCGAGGTGTGTATTGAATTGTAATGATATATTTATAGAGGTAGGTAGTGCATTCCTAGTATGATTGCTATGTTGAAATCCCTAAGAGTTCTACCGTGATTGGAAGTTGCAACTTAATTGGTTTTGTATTACCCACATGTTTGAATAGAGATAGGATTCTGATGGTAGAATTCTTTCAAGATGATGTAACATATTAACAACAGGACTTTGCCTCTCTTAGGTGTGGATAAGCTTTGGCAAGAGGGAGAGTTCTAATGAGTCAAGGGCTGTTTGGTACGAGCTTTAGTCGTGATTCGAGGAAGACGTATGGGGTCGAGCAAAGACCATCTCGAGGAGACGTGCTCGAAGAGGTCATGAGGCATTTGAGCCAAAATGGAAAGCTACTCCTCGGGTACAATGCTCGAGCTCCACTAACATTGGTATCATCATACATGTTAGAAGATTCTTGGAATTCAATTCATTGCACAAGCATGCAATACGCGTAAGCAATTTCCTCTCCTTAATACAACAATACTTCTCTCCCTTGCGCCCTCGGGAAATTTCCACATACACCCACTACAAACTAGAGAATTTGCTGATTCAATAGGAAAGACATGTCAAGGGAAGCTGATAGAAAAATGTTGTCACCATCAACTACAATAGTAGATCAATGAATCTACAGCAGTAAACTTCAATTAATAGAAAGGCCCAAACAAACATGAAATTAGTCACGTACTGTCCAAGATGCGTAGAATAATAGACCTTTGATTCGTGGAATACGGGCTTAGTTTCATTGAATCGACCACCACAATTCTCAACCAAACACCACAAACCAATCCCCACAACCGGTTGCTTTTGAGTTGCCCACAAAGGGCAAGGTGTGAAGGTTTATTGTAGCTTTAAGAATCAGCCACAAAGGCTAAGGGAAGGAGAAGAAAACAAAACACTGAAATGGAAAGCACGAAGCCAGAAAGCCAGGAAAAGAGACACCTTTTTCTCTCAACCAAAGGGGGCTAGTAAACCAATTTCACACACGTGAAAACAACAGTAATGGGCAGCCTAAATAGAATTAAGCTAAATGAACATAATGTTTGACATAGGGGTTGACCGGCATCTCACATTGCATGTGGGTCCCTACCTGAATTAAATAATGCCGACATTCCTCATGTGTGTGTTGTGTCATCCCCTATGTCAAGCATTATGTTTGTGTAGCAAAACTCGCCTAAATAATGGCGAGTGTGGGCTTTTAGGTTAAAGGATAATAAGGGCCCAATAGGTAGCAAATAAATTGGCTGTCAACCAAAAAGCCATCCAAGGTAATGGGTCGAACCATGAGTAACACTAATTAAATTGGGTTACTTCAAATGACCCAAATAGGTTGTAGGATCAGTCTGAACAATTGTGGTGTCGATATTTCACTTCACTCATCGGCCGAGGCCTATGAAGTATAATCCAAAAAACAGTTTAACATCATCGCCCGAGATTTATTGGGTATCAAAAACCCAACAAGATGATTATGAAGCGAATTAGTTTAGTAGCAGAATCAAGAGGACACTCAAGGAGACAAATAGATCAAATGATTTTGAGGGATAGTCTTAATTAGTTTTATTAATGGATAAAAACAAAAGGTGGTTAGTCCCCTTTGAATGTATCAAACTCAAGGGACTTCACTGTACATGTTTTCGACAGAATTCGTAGTTACAACAATACTACTAGCCTTTAGATTATGAAGATGGGCTCGGCAAACAACTAGACATATTCATGGTATCTCTGTCCATATTCAAGCTCAATGACTTGGCCTTATTGGTGTAGAGCATTTTCACATTGGATCTTTGCTCATTCAGCAACTTCCACAGGCTTCTCTTGGCATTGGCTCGAAATGGGCAATTAGATGCCATGAACCCGTCCACTAAGTGCAGGTATGCTTCCAGGTCATGGCAACATGCTACATCCGCATTGGGCTTCAAGAAAGGAGACATTTTGGTATCTACTTTTAATTCAGTTCCAACGTGTGCATATGCCCATGGCATACTATTGTCTAGCATGTTAAGCACTGCTGAGGCTCCCGAGCCCCTCAATTGTTTGTCGAGCTCTTCGCTCACAAACATGCCGGGTACCCGAGTGATTATGTCTTGTGAATTAACAATTCGTAGGACCTTCACGTTTTTGGCATTTAGATGGTTGGCAAAGCCTCGGTTCCCAACTCGAGGACCTCCAAAGGAGAAGACAGACACCGGTGGCATATTGATTGAACATGAACTTAATTCATCCCCCACCAACAAAGCTAAGGCCGCCCCAAGGCTGTGCCCCGTGATGGTGATGCTTAGTGTCTCACCTTTATACTTCTCGAGTAATCTTTGAACTTCTTCGACTACTGATTGGGCTAAACTTTCTACGTGAGCTCCATGTGTCTTGAATAGACTCAAAAATCCACATTCTACTTTGGATTGTGCTTCGGTGTCATCTTTTTCTTCTGACATCGGAACAAGTAGATTCCTAAAGTTTTCGCCCCACTCAAGACATGTAGCCGTACCACGTAAAGCTATCACGATGTCCCTCCTTCCCATCCTTTGAATTTCTCTCTTGTCATCACACACTGCCACATACCCTATCCAGCTTGATCGTTGGGTCATCCATTCAAGATCCGGCGCTACATCATCCACCCATTTGGGCAACCCGATAGATGACGTGGCATAAAGGCTCTTTGTCACTTTATAGGACCTATCAGGAAGAACCACGTGCCGCGGCCATGGCGCCTCGTCTGCTGACGTGGCAGGATCAGAATGGAAACAATGATAAGCCGCCTGAATGAACTCCCCATACCGGACAATCTCTCGCCGGAGATTCTCGTCGAGAGGGTCCAATAGGCCCTCCCAGTCACGACTTCCATGATACTCGCGCCACCGGCTACCGAGATTGTTCCTCGGAGAATATTCCGCCGACTTAGACAACAGCCTCTGCAGCCTATTTAAATGGCGCGGCGACATTTCCTCGATGGCTTTCTTCCCTGGCCAAACTCTGGCCAAGTTCAATCCTTCTAACAGTCCCTTTGCTTTGTTTTCCAACGACGGAACAGAACCGGATTCTTTCTGAACCGGTTCTTGATCAGGAGCCTGCTTTTGCAGCAGTTTTTCAAGGTTGGACAGATGCTTTTTTGTCACCTCAGTTGAAGCTACAGGATTTGCATTTTGTGCTTGAACTTGAGGCCTATTCAATGGGTTCAATGGTGAACCTGAACAGTTGAAACTGGCACGTCTCGCCTGAAAAAGGTGGAGGTTATTCGCCGGAAGTGTTGAGCCAATTTGCATCATATTTTTTTTTATCAGAAATTGGAAACTGATATTTGGAAGAAAGGTTTACTCAATTACAGTAGTTTAACTTTAATTGGTGGTTCGATCCTTTTCTGGATGGGGTGGCGAAGTTTAAGAAACAGCTGTGAGTTGAGACCAAATGGGACTGAATGGATCAATGGCTGCTTATATAGAACAATTCTTAACTAAATGCCCTCGATTGTTCAGCTATTTACATAGGAACCATCAACCATGGTTTTTTTCATCTTTTGCATGGACACAGGGTGATAGGGATATATGTGTGAAACTGCTAGGAAATGGACCTCCTCTCTACTGGTTGAATTTTTTTCCGGAAAGTCTGCTGAATTGGTGTATTTGACCAAAATGTCCTCATTCAATTCAATTGTTAAATATATCCTTTCTTGTACATCAAAATAAAGTTTGATAAAAAATTTGACTTCTTCTGGACTTTTCAGATTAGATTAGAGACAATGTTAACGTGTGAGACAACGTTGAAATTAGTATTTTCTTTACTTTTATCCATTTGAGGTTTTCATCTTGAAACAACGAATAGATTAATATTTGTTTGTAAAACAGTGCTTGTTTGAGAATATCAATCTTAAAATCTCATTGCTCATTTTAGTTTTAAATGAATTAAATTGCCCTTTTAAACTTGTTATTCTCGTACCATAATTTTTCGAGTTCCGTCTATAAATATCCATTGTACGTTTGTTAATTTGTTTAGACTCCGTTCGCCACCAAGAAAAAAAAAATTAGAAAAAAAAATCAAAAGCTTGATGTAATGAAGAAAGATCTCTATCAACAATTTCCAAAAGGTTTTTTATTTTGAACAAAACATTGAATGCTTTATGTGATATACTACTTTTTGCTCAAAGCTTTTGGTCATTCGTTTTAGGCAAATTAAGAAGTAAAAGTTTGAATATTCAATTCGTTTAAATTTAAGAGGCAAATCTAGTCAAGTTCTTCAAGATATCAACTTGATCTTTTGCAGTTAGCTAAAAATGCATTAATTTGTTTGCAAAGTCTTTCTTCTCACTTGCTTTTTCTTGACGTGAATATGTTTCTTTACTCTATAATTTACAAACATTTTGCGACAAAGAAGTCATTATAACAAATTTAGCTATTGCGTTAAGAAAGTAGAAAGAGTTTTTGACACGGATTGAGTTTAAACTTGTTTCATTGCAACAAGTCATCAATTATAAGTAATGAAATAGTTGTTGACACAATCTTAAATAAGTGGAACTTAGGGTCTGTTTGATAACCTTCATTTTCCATTTTCTAGTTTTTGGCTTGTTTAATTGTACAAGTTTTCCATGAATTTTTTTTCCCTCTTACACCCATACGTGCACATTTTCCATGAAATTGAGGAAATCGTTTTCCCACCTTTTAGGTGGGTTTTCATTTTCCTTTTTTTTTTTTTTTT